GAGATTACATCCGCCATTTTACTTGGAGTTACATTAGACCAACATCTGAAATGGGATAGGCAAATTAATACCATCTACAATATAATCAATTCTAGCCTTTACCTGCTCAAACGTATACGTAGCTATCTCACTTTTCAATCCCGTATTCAATTATATTACGCACTAATCTACCCACACTTGCTATATTGTAGCACAGTCTGGGGCAATGCTAATAACGATCTAATTACGTGCCTACTAAAACTACAGAAACGTGCAGCGAGACTAATTCTTGAGCAGTCAACTGAAGTGCCTTCAATTGTGCTTTTCCGTAAACTCAACTGGATACCTATTTTTAATTTCATCAAAATGAGAAAAATATTATTGGTATTCAATACTTTAAAAACATCTTGGCCGCCGGATCTTCGTAAATTGTTTGTCTTTGTTCGCGACTCTCATCCAATTCCAACTAGATCGTCTATTACAGATTTAAAAGTTCCATGAGTTAAGACTACGCAAGCAAAATCCAAAATTTCCTTCAGTGGTGCAAGTTTATTTAATTATTTACCTTCCGAATTAAAAGATATTGAAAATCATTCAATTTATTCCTATAAAAAGAAGCTCAAAACCTACTTTATTCAATTGAATTATGAAGTAGATCACGTTAATAAATTCCGCTGCATCGATTGTAAGCATATTACTCATTGTCAATGTTACTCTCAATAGGATTTTCTTTTTATATATTACTATTAGATATCGAGGGCCATTGGGAAGAATACTATATTAAGTAATCAATGTAATCCCTCATTAAATAAAGTTTTATTATTATTATTATTATTATTATCCGTATCCGTATCCGTACCCGTACCCGTACCTGTACCTGTATCTGTACCTGTACCTGTACCCGTACCTGTACCTGTACCTGTACCTGTACCTGTACCTGTACCTGTACCTGTACCTGTACCTGTACCCGTACCTGTACCTGTACCTGTACCCGTACCTGTACCTGTATCCGTATCCGTATCCGTACCCGTGTACCCGTACCTTTACCTGTACCTGTACCTGTACTTGTATCTGTACCTGTACCTGTACCTGTACCTGTACCTGTACCTGTACCTGTATCTGTATCTGTACCTGTACCTGTACCCGTACCTGTACCTGTACCTGTATCTGTATCTGTACCTGTATACCTGTATACATGTCATAATTCATTATTCAATGAAAAATTATTGTTATAAATCAGACTCAAATGTCTGTGCCAGTGTAGGTAGTGGCAATAGCGTCAGAAAGCTGCAGATTGACAAGGATTCAACTACTTTAAAAATATCACTATATATAAAAAGAAACAGATGCCATCTTCAAATTCAAGATTTGAATTAATACAAGACGGATGTTTGAAACTGTGAATTAATTATCAACTTTATTTCGAATTCAATAAAGTCGAAAATTCACAGTTTCAAACGTTCGTCTTGTATTATCAATTCAAATAAATTCAATCTTGAATTTCAAGATGGCATTATTACTCAAATTGGTGTCATTTTAATACTAAGTAAAACGTCGACGTTTCAAGCCAAAGCTCTTCGAAGGCCTTTCCGACGAACTGTCTTCGCTCAAATCGTCAAACGTTGTATTTTTCAGGTAGTTGAATCCTTCCCGATCCGCAGCTTTCTGGTGTTAAATAATTATGAGAGTTGCACTATGCCAGAAACTGATTTTGACAACATCCATAGGATATTACCACTCACCTGTAATTAAGCCCCGTTGTACCTTTCTTCATTCCCTTGATCATTTCTTGATGTGTGATGCGGAATTCCTTCCCAAAGTACAACATCGTGACCATGACGCAGTTCTTGGAATGTGTGTGAATGACAGCGCCGGCACCTGAAATAAAAAATAAACAAAATTGGTGCGGAGGATGTAAGAAGGTGCTACTGGAAAAATGGAGTATGGTTCCATGAAAAGTAAGTATGGTTCCATGAATAGCAATTTAAGATCATAGAAAGGTTATTGACAAATTTTATATAACACCTTAAAAAACTCATTAATAATTCAGGAGCAAAACACAAAGAAAAATCATAAGCGTGTCGTGGTTTTATATGTGATAAAAAATCATGTTAATTTACATAAACTTTAGCTTTGATTTTCTCGGTTTAGAGAAAGTTTATTTTAAAAATTACTTCGCTAATGTACTCATCAGAAGATGGGTCGTTTTTTAAGCTATTTAAAGCACTCGTAGTCGTGTTTTATCACATATAAAACACTCCGCTACGCGTCGTGTTTTATATGTGATAAAACACTCCTACTCGTGCTTTAAATAGTACTTCAAACACTCATTAATAATTCATAAGCTTATTGGCAAATCATGTCAACCATAATATGTCACGTGCAGTGGCTTTAAACCTGATAAAACACTCCTAATTAGTATTCTTTATATAAAGAATACTAATAAAGGCAGTATCTATTGTAGTCGTGTCCTCATTAGTATTCTTTATATAAAGAATACTAATAAGGCAGTATATCTATTGAATTTGTAGTCGTGTTTGAAGCCGTTTAATAAACTCGCAGGTCGTGTTTTATTAGGTCTAAAGCCACTCGCGCTGCGCGCTCGTGGCTTTAAACCTAATAAAACACTCCTGCTCGTTTATTAAACAGTACCTCATGCAAATTCATGAAATCATATATTGGTTTCAATACCTCTATATCGAACACTAAACAGCAAATCTAAATATAAATGACTTCATGTATATCACCAGAAAGAAATAAAGCTATCCTTACCATGAATTATTCAAAATATTGTCGATCCTTTGCATCGTGAAAATCCAACATACTGCATGTAAATAAACTCGTATTAAACTGTATTAAATCCTGAGAAGAATCATGCGAGCGCAATACAAAATAAATAAAATCGAATCAAAATCGAATAAAAGCAAAGAGTCGTCGAATGCTCGAGCTGACGACAATTTCCGAAAAATCTTGGCATCCGACGGACTGACATGGATTCAGTACTGTTTCCCCAAACGGACTGACATGGATTCAGTACTCGGCCGGGAACTGGGCACGAAAAAGCAAGAACGTCATGTAACGTCAAGAATAGGGAGCTGCCTCGCTACGCTCTGCAGCAACTATACTATAAGGGGGATACAACGCGCAATTTGACTAAATAACTAGATATTAAGCGTGTGCCATGCATTGTTTGGTTTTTCAATTTTCTCGCTATATCTTGGACACTTGCGAGTAGATGATAGCCCCCATCTGGGGTAAATTTCCCGCCATATGACGTCAACATTTTGAGGGATAAGAGTGACGTCATTTTTGGAATATTGTCGCGTAACATTTGTCGCGTGATCTTTTGGAATTTTGAGATGGCGTCAGCAAGTATTGTCGCATAACATTTGTCGCGTGATCTTTTGGAATTTTCAGATGGCGTCAGCGGGACGTGTAAAAACGGGAGTTTTATATTTATTTTAAAATGGAAAGTTTATGTGATATGTTTGCAGCAATGAGTATTTCTCAGGAGGTGCCAAACGATTTGGTTGTGGATGAAGTATCTTATGAAGTGAAGAATGTTTGTGATTTGATGAATGCTGTGTTTTTCGAAGCGGTTGTTTGTGAAATTCGGAGATTATTGAAGGAGAAATGTCCAGGCTGCGAAGTCGATCATCCGAGTCAGAGGAGACACAACTGTATTATGTTGTCAGACGGGGAGGGATGGTTACTGCATGGTTTGGAAGCAGTGGAGCGTGTGATTGAGCGTGGAATTGTGAGGAAACAGTTTCTTGAAGCTATTCGAGTGATGAAATTGGAATATTACGGGCGTGCGAAAGAACATTATGCGAACTTGATAAAAGATCGTGAAGTAACACTTGATTTTTTGGGGGATTTGAGAGGAAGTTTTTCTGATTATCAACCCATTTTGAACTACCTAATGTATTGGAGCGAAGAACATTGTGCATAAGACACGTTTAGTAAAAAACATTTATTTATTTATAAAATTGTAAAAGATTTTTTAACAGAGATGTTTTGTAAAACTACTAATGTTTTTTTGAGAACAAAGACTTTACAATTTATTGAGTTGTTCTCGTAGTTTATTTTCTAAATGTTTCTGATACGCTTTTTTATGATCCGTTTCGAGGGATTTGAATGTTTCCTTTGTCCCTTTGACATAATAGGTGTATCTTGGCGGTGAGCTGAAATGACATTGAGCATAGGATTCCAGGGGGGGGTCAGTTTGTGGATTCCATAAGTCATGTAGAATACGTAGTAATGGTTGATTGTCTTGATATACTTGTAGTAAAGTGTAGACAAAGTTTTGATCGGGTTCTTCTTGCAAATACATCAAATGCTGTGTGAAATCTTTCTGATTTTCTACGTTTAGAATTTTGATAGCGGCCATGAATTCGTTTCATGTGGAGGACGTGTGTTAACTTGTTCTATGGCGTTGAACCCATGCATTCCCCAGGTTTCGTGTTCATCCATCATTAGACAATCCTGTTCGTATACTTTACAGCCACAGCAACGTTCATTGCGTATTTTTTGAACCTCGCATGCTACGTTCTTAGCGTAAATTACTTCCAGTAAGTGAAATATTGAACCAGCCATCATCAGAGACAGTGTACAACTGTTTGCCGCGCTTTTTGACAAGTTTAAGATATATACTTTTTAGACATTTGTCGCGTAACGCATTTGTTCCATGTCACATAGCGTTTGTTCCACGACATTGTCGCGTAGCGTTTGTTCCA